GTTATATGTATTTCTAAGGGTCCCCAGTGAGGGCTCACAGGGCTTGCTCAGTTTTTTCACTGTTTCCCCTCCAGCCTGCTACTGGTTCCCACCTACATCAATATCATTTAAGGGTTCCCGCTTTAGCCCTTAGGTGCAGCTACTGACATTAGTGCCCAGCGTGCTCTTTCTCAATTCTGAAAACCATGCACATCCTGAAAGTGTGCTGTTCCTTGGAGTCCTCACCGAAATGCCATTTCTGTGTCACAACCATGCTAAGTCTTACCATCTAAGCTCTGATGTAGTGCTCCGCCCTGTGTTTGCTTTAGCCCCTCTCTCTGTGAATTTGAACATATGCCCCTGGGTCTGGGTCAAGATTGACATCTAAACAGACACCACGCGGCCCTCTCCATTCCCTTGTACTCCCTTCTCCTTCGTGTGATAGCTTCTTCCCTTGTCCTCCGCTGTCAACCCTCCTCCCCACCAGGTCACTGGACATGTGCAGTCATGTATGACCCTCAACTTGGGATCAGCAACGTACAGATCACTGTCTGTTTCCTGTGTTGGTGAGCCCTCCCCAACTAGATCATAAATTGCTTGAGGTTAGAGAGTGCATCTGAGAATTCCTCACCTTGACAGCACTTAGCAGCAGAATCACTCAGTTTGGGACTGAACTCAGAGGCATCTCCCATGAACAGTCATTGGTTGACTGATAAATTTGCATTGGTCTTGATAGCTCCTGGCCAAACCATAATAAGAAACCTCTTTACGGAAGGAAATTTACTGTCTCAGGTAGAGGAATGAAGTGCCCAACTTATTCAGGACCTTTGTTTTAATACTTAGGTTTCATACCCCAGGAAACTCCTCAATTTGGGCACACTGAGGTGGTTGGTGACTAGGATTCCCCAGTGTGAAATAGTCCCTTATACTCCAGAGCAGATACCAGCCCTCTCATTCCAGACATGTGTCTGCCCTCGCCTCCTGGACACACCGACACACTCATACACACACACACTCACGCACTCGCCCAGATGAGTCCGTACCACCATTGCCTGTTCCCTGCTCTCAGCAGCATCAGGTCATATAAATTAGTGGTCCGCAACTGCTCCAGACTTTACAAACTGAAGGAAAATGTTCTTGTCATCTCAGCCTCTTCCCTCAGCTTTGCGACCTTCCCACTTCTCACTGTTTGTGACATTTATTTTTTCTCTAATCAGCAAAGGGCCAGGGTAGAAACACAGTAGTCTCAACCTTGAGAGGCTGCATTTCAAATATCAGTGGTTCCTGCCTTCTGAATCCTTGTGGAATGATCAGAAAGCAAGGCATGTTCATATAGAGGGTATATCGGATGTCATTCTTAGAGAGACAGCTGGGGAAAGTCCCTGGTACGGGAGCTCCTTGCAGCTCATTACCCCCCGCAGCATGGCTGCTCCTCTCATGCTGACATCTCCAGCCCTTCCACCAGCGCTGGGTGCAGCACAGCCTCGCCATCTGCTCGCGTGACACCTACATTATGGCCTCCCCTCATGCATTCCTAATGGCTGGAGAAGGCAACAGCGACGTCCAGTGTGCCAGCTGGCACCGGTGGTATAAACCCAGACAGTGATGAACCAGGGCCCAGGCCGGGAGGAAGGGAGGACGCTGACGGCTCATTGCGCGGTGTTGCCAGTGCAGCGAGGCAGACCTCTCTGCTCCTGGAAGCGGAATCAGTGTGGTGTTTCTGTTCCTGCAGCAAATGCATAAGCTTCTTTTTGATATATGGTCACAAGAGAATGATCACAGAAAAGAATTCAAGATCTGAGTTGTGCTATCTTTTTTTTATCCTCACCTGAGGACATTTTTCTATTTTTTGTTCAGACAGAGTAGCAGGGAGAGAGAGGGAGAGAGAGAGAGAGAGAAACATTGACGTGAAAGGGACACATCGAGTGGCTGCCATCCGCACAACCAACCAGGGCCGGGGACAAACTGCAACCGAAGTACATGCCCTTAGCGGGAACCGAACCCGGGTCTCTCTGGACCGCAGGCCGACGCTCTAACTGCTGAGACAACCTGGGCAGGGCGAGTTGTGCTATTTTTGCATCTATGCATCTCTAACTGACATTGTTGGGGGCTCTCCAGGGAGTGTAGGATTGCTTGAAAATGGCTGCTCATGGAGGAGCACAGGAAGGGGACACATGCCAATGGGTCAGTTCTGTCCCATAGGCTGTCCAAGTTCCCCACCTGCCTCTACCTCCCTGAGTCTCCAATCTTCCCTGTTCCTTTCTTTGTGCCCTGAAATTAATTGATTGATTCATTCACTCATTCATTCATTTCTCTCTGGATGCTGCTTTCAGTGTTAAATTGGTCAAGCAGCTATTCAAAATCTCAAATTTAGGCATATGACCTGGGCTCTTCTGTTATTGTTATTGTTGATTTTGATGTGTTTGACATTAAGACAGTTCTGTGTTCTAAAAGCTTCTATTCTCTTTTCTATTGGTTCTTTGACACATATATATATATATACACACACACCCCACCTGTGTATGTGTGTATATATATGTTTTAACTTTTGCTTACTTCATTTCCACCTTTCCCTATTTTTTTTCCTTTATTGATTTTAGAGAGAGAAGAAGGGAGAGGGAGAGAGAGAAAGAAACACTGATGAAAGAGAACGTTGATTGGCTACCTCCTGCATGCTTCCCGCTGGGGATTTGGCCCACAACCTGGGCATGTGTTCTGACCAGGAATCGAACTGGCGACCTCTTGGTGCATGGGTCGATGCTCAATTACTGAGCCACACTGGCCAACCACCTTTCCCTATTTTAAATGAAAGTGGTAGTACAGAGGCACAGAAATATAATGCTCTTTCTTAGTACAGGAAGCTCAATGCTATTTTTGTTTTTGTTTTGTCTAAAAAGCCCTCATAGATCCTGCCTTTCTCCAAGCATATATCTTCCAAGGGCTGATGATGCCAAGAGAGGGACAAATGTGTCTCCAGCCACACAGACACACAGAAATTCTAGATCAGCCCTGTGCAGGAGACAGACAGCCCCAGAGGCAGAGCCCCAAAACTACTGGAATCCTGATGTCATCTCAGCTCCAAATCCCTCAGGTCAGCTGGCTAGGTTCCTTCCCCTCAGGTCAATTCACTTGAACAGTCATACACCAAAGAAACAGAAACTTCATGGCCTTGACTTTATAAACTCAAGTCCTGCGTGAGGGACAGTGGAAGGAAAGAACCATTTGTGGCCTACCTGGGGATAAAGAAAGGTGGTGATAAATGTGGCCAAAGGTGGAGACCTGTATAGCAGGGTGGTTAGGAGTGTGTGCTTAAGACCCACTACAGCTGAAGATACCCAAGCCTTCTGAGCCAGACAGGAAAGGAATTGAAATAGGGAAAAGGGAAGAATCGGGGAGGATTCTTAATCCAAATGACCCTTAAGAAAATGATGCTTCTGGCTATGGTAATGAGGAATGGTGGAGATAAAATAAAAAATAGAGGCTGTGCCTGGTTCCAGAGAGTGGGGTAGAGGGGGACAGAGTTTAAGGCTCTGCTTCAATATTGTGGCAAAAATAGGAAAATGAGTAAAAATGCTAGACTGTAACTTACTGAGTTAGGGTTAACCTACTTTGCTGCCCCATAACTCTCCACTCTTCTGTATAGGGTGCCATTTCCCCTGGGGATTGGAAAGTGTGTATTTCTAGTCTGGCTTTAACACCACCTAGTCATAACCTTGGGTTGGTCCTTCCAGGGCTGGAGTAAGAACTTTAGACTTCCTGAAGCCCCCAAAGAGGATGGTTTCCCCCTACTGCCCCATGTGCACTTCTAAATGAAAATAATTTGAAGCCATAAACGATGGACCAGGATATCTTCCCAAGTTCTGGTTTTTACTCCATAGTGATTACATTGATACTTTTAAGTAAGTCAATACTTAAAAATATTCTCTCTCCATCTGAGTTTCCCTGCTTCGCTGACGTTCAGGCTAAGTGCTTGGCTAGTTTACCTGTTGGTTTATCAGTGGTCAGTCCTTCTTGCTGGGTCTCAGTTTTCTATTCTGAGATGATGTCAGACCAGAAGCTCTCCAGGATCTCTCCCAGCTTGATTTTCTGTAAATTCCTAACTTAGAGGTGTTTTCTATTCACCTTTATTATCATCCTTTCTTGGCCTTTGGTTTCTCCCAAATACTAACGAGAAAAATAATATTGACATTTTCATATCCCCTCAACTCCTTATATCTATTAAAGGCAACATCGAAACCTTGGTGAGTATCTGGGACATTTCTCAGTCAAAACTAAAGGGTAATTGAATCCCTTTTTATGTCTAATCTTACAAAAGATGCAAGTCTATGGGAAGATGTGATCATCAGCAGAGTCCTGGATTTACTGGGGAAAGCATTTCGGAATAAAGGCAAAAGCTTTTTGGAAAAGGATAAAAACTATAAGTGATTGTAGCATACCTGCACAGATTTCATCCCTGACAATAATTTAGGGTGTGGTTCTAAAAAGTTCCCTTTACCTAAAGCTAAATTCTAGACTTTGGCTTTCCTGTTTGTTCATTCATTCATTTATTCATTCGTTCATTCCTTCATAATTTACCTGCCTGTGTTGTTTATAATAAGGTAAGTCTAGCTCTCATCGTTTACGAGATTTCTCATGAACAGATCTCACATCTACACCTTGCCCATTCTGATGCCTCTGCCCTTTGACTTTTCACCTCTGCCCTGAGTGGAAATCCCGCCTTGGCTCCCGTGCCTTCTCTGAGAGGGTGCAGCAGAGGCTGGGCTCTCTGTGAGCTTTGCTGTGCTGTGCCCCTCACATGGGAGCTGTGCATTGTGTGCTGGAAGGTTTAGATAACAGATGTTCCGAGGCAGACGAGCGAGCGCACACTCCCTGCGCCCAGAGCGTGCCGAGCCAGGCGCGCACACACTCGCCAGTACCAATACCAGGAGAGCTGCCGGGGTGATGGAGGGACTGTGCTCTGAGGGGCGAGCGCTGCTCCAAAGCCCTGCTAATGTCTCTGTGTGGCCATGCTGTATTTTCAGCTTGTCATCATGGCCGGGACAGTGCTGCTTGCCTACTACTTCGAATGCACTGACACTTTTCAGGTGCATATCCAAGGATTCTTCTGTCAGGACGGAGACTTAATGAAGCCTTACCCGGGGACAGAGGAAGAAAGCTTCATCACCCCTCTGGTGCTCTATTGTGTGCTGGCTGCCACCCCAACTGCTATTGTAAGTACAGAAATAGACTTCCTGCTTTGTTGTCAGATACTAAACAACATTCCTGTCTGCCTTTTCTCCTCTTCCCTCTCTCCCTGGGCATTCAGCTGCAGCCTTGTCAGGGGTGTCCTGTTTCAGCCCAAACAGAGGGAGTGAGCGCTGAAGAAAAGCTCCTGAAATGGATCTTTTCTTTTAGAAGTGGCTTTTTGGTATCTGAATTTAACTATATATATATAAACATTTTTAAGCATGTGTGAATGTCATAAATCAACAGGCGCTGTTGGCTAATGTGTTAAGAACAGCTACTGCGCTCTTGAAAAATAAACAGCGGGTCCTGTGTATTAAGGAGAGGTCTTGAATGTAAATGCCAGTGTTGATATAAAGCCTCAAATCCAAGTGGGGTAGAATCCCCAGGGGCCTGTCTCTCCTGCTGTTTTGATTGAACTTCCAGAGATGAGAGAAATCGCTTGGCCTGAAGTTTGCTAGGATTCATTCTTGATGCTCTGGTTCTGTTCACATTACATCACATTCAATTAAGTTGTCACTTTACCTTCATTTGGTTCCTTCCTTTCTCTCATGAGGCCAAAAGACAAGGCCAGACAATCCCCTCCAGGGAGACTGTTTCAAAGCATAAAGCTCACATATCTGGATTATCTGATTTAACACTTAGACCTTTTAATTTTAAAAATGACTTTGTGAGGGTTTTTAAATAAACATTTCTGTGTCTAAACATGCTACTAGGTCAGATTGTCTGGGATGTAATCTCATGATCATCTCCCCCCTTTTCTTCCAGTAGATGTCTCCCCAGTTCTCCCTTCTCGCCTCGTTTGTTGGGCAGTAATAGAAACACTTACCTGTGGGCTGAGGAATATACCGATTGCTCAGACATTCAGCAAAGTAAATTTTTTTGCTTGCTTTAGGATGAGAAACGAAATAGCCTTTTGACAGGCAATGTGGACATAGGAATCATAATGCTTTATGGTCTTTCTGATCGTTGATCGTAGGCTCGACAAGCTCCCCCTTAAATGATAAGACTGTGCTGTGAGGATTAAGGTCAGCGCTGATAAAACATGGTGTATCAGAGTGGTTAATAGCATAAGCTTTGCCCTCACACATACTAGATTCATGTCCTGGCTGTGTGACTTTAGGTGAGTCACTCTCCACCCCCCGCCCCCATTAAAGTGGGGGTAATGTGACTATTTCATGTCTCGACACTTACATGATTGAAACACGTGACTTAGCTCTGTGTCTAGCATGTACTAAGTGGTTAGAAGTGGGGAAAGAACCTGGCTGGAAGCTGTTCTTTGTCCTTTGCAGGGTCACAGACCAACTTCCTTACCTGAAGACAGTGAGATTCTACTGAAACCCGGGTAACCTCCTCTTCAGAGGGAGGGAGATGCGCCCTCTCTCGAGGAAGGCTGACCTCTGCACCCCTCTGCCGTCACCTCACGCACTCTTTCTCACCAGCCGGGGAATAAGAGAAAGCACCTCATATATTCAGACATGAAACTCCCAGTGATCCACTGACTTACTAAAATATTTTCCTCTCTTCTTCCCAGACCTAGGAAATAGCATCACCTAGGTTCTCCTGTAATTACTAATTGTAATGATAGAGATTTTTTCTGTTAAAAACAACAACAACAAAGAAAAGGAAGGAAAACAGATTTTTAAAATTATGAATAAAAAAAGTAGTGAATCAGAAAATAATAGAATTGATCAAATCAGGAGTTGATTATTTGAAAAGTAAAATGTACAACCTCCTTGCTAGTCTAATATAAGAAAGATAAAAGTAACAAAAGTTAAGGAATAAAATATGTATAAGCAAAAACACATATACCTTTAAAAGTCTACCCCGCATTTTTATTTAAGTTGTATATACAATTCTGTGTCAATAAATGCTTATATCTCAATAAAATTGATAATATTCCATGACAAGATAATTAACTAACAATGCCTTAAAAATGTAAAAAGCTAGCTAGATGAACAACAATAGAATAAATATTTAAACATGTCTAAAATTTACCTCACAAAATACTACTGGGACATGTAACTATAGTATAAATTCCTTCAAACTTTCAAGAAATAGAAAATCCATAACTATATAAGATGTTCCAGAGCCTAAACACAGAAAGCTTCTAAATGCACATTACAAAGTGAGAAAAATATGGATCCCTAACACTTAGAAAATCTACATGTACACCCACAAAGCACCCTCAACGGTAACAGCAATGTCACTTAGATGTGTTGATACAAGCATATAGAAAAGGACTGACAGATTTGTCTACCTAAAAACAAGCATTTCTTTATCAAAAGAAAAAGTAAATGAAACCTGTAAAAAAGTTTGCAGCATGTGAGATTGAAATGTAAATATCCTTAGTACTTAAAAAGATGAACTTCCCAAAGTAAAAATGGGAGAAGGCAAGAAGAGACAATATATTGACTGTGTGCACATAAAGCTTTCTAAGCTCATCAATTATCAAAGAAAAGTAATTTTAAAAAATACAGCATTTTTCCCATGTAAAAATGACAAATGTTTTTTGGTTTTTTTTATCCTCACCCGAGGACATTTTTTTTGTTTTTTTGTTCAGATAGAGTGGGAGGGAGAGAGAGGAAGAGAGAGAGAGAGGAAGAGAGAGAGAGAGAGAGAGAGAGAGAAACATCGACGTGAAAGGGACACATCGAGTAGTTGCCACCCGCACATCCCAACCAGGGCCGGGGACAAACTGCAACCAAGGTACATGCCCTTAGCTGGAACCGAACACGGGTCTCTCTGGACCACAGGCCGACGCTCTAACCGCTGAGCCAAACCAGCCAGGGCAAAATTGACAAACGTTTTAAAGAAATAGCCCATGTTGTTCAAGGTGCAGATGCTTTTTTAAAACAATTCTTGTCAAAGTGTAAACTGATGTTTTCTTCCTGAAGAGCAGCTTGACAAAGATGTATTAAGAGTTTTATAAACTTCAAACACAACCAATAATTCTATTTCCTAAATTTATGTTAAGGAAGTAACCAGAGTTTTAAATAAATACAAAGATTTATCTGTTAAGGATTTTCATCTCAGCAATAGTTTAAATCAGTAAAAACTTGGAACTAGCTAAATATACAATATTAGGATTGTGTAAGTACATCATGGGTCAGTCATGTTTTTGAAACACCTTTAATAGCAATTAAACATGCTTATGATTTATTGTTAAGATTGTTTAAAGTCTAAAAATTGTGTATAGCATTACGAGGGGAACCTTTTTCCCTTTTTCCAAGAGAATCTGAGCTTCTCTCAATTTTCTGGCTCTGTTTCCTAGAAAAAGAAGAAGATGATATATGTTTATGTTACTAGGCAAAACTAAGCCCTAATTGGTGAATCGCATCTGGACTCACAGAACTATCATTGTCCAAGGAGGTACCATGCTCTGGCTTGTACATGCAGTGATTGGCATGTCCATTTTGAGACCTTGGAAGCAGTGCCCATGGAGTTGCTTCTATTGGCTCCTATGGGGCATGAGGCTTTTCAGCCAGGATGGCTTCTGCACCCTCTTACATGTCTTGAACTCCTTACACCTGAGCTGTGATGCTCTGCTGGACCGTGGCAAGGGCACGTGCTAAAGAGGAGCATGTGATGCTGCCCTGTTGGCAAGCTATTGTTCTTTCCAAGGGGACCAAGGCCAAATGTAGGATGTGGTTGTCTATGGGTCTGAATATTTAACAGACCTCTGAAAAAGAACCTTGTGTATGTTGTAAGTAGACTCCCAAATATATAATTATATATAAAAAGACTAGTCAGAAATAAACTAAAAATTTACAGTGATTATCTCTGAGTGCTAAGGGTACAGTTAATTTTTTTATTCTCTTTAATATTTTTATATATTTCTTTCCAATTCTACATGAATGCATATTCTTTTCAAATCGAAAGATACATTCTTAAAACAAATTGTATACCCCAGTTCTTCTGGTGATAATTATGAAATGACCAGTCTTTCGTTCGACTTAAAAATGGCAATTCTCAAAAACAAAGACACACGTGGCCAAAAAACAAAAATACAAAAACAGAACTTTGTGAAGAATTTTCTCTTCTCTCTAGGCAAACTGTATAGCTCTTTCACACTAAGTTTTTCAGCAGAAACTCTTCTCCAGGTACACATTTTGATCATATCTCTTTCATTGATTCCTTGCCCCAAATGACACCAACCGACATGGAGGCCGAATGCTCTGATGGGAGGCCGAGCGGTATGGTCAATGGACAGTGAACTGAGCATTAAGAACCTGCCCCTCTGTTCCAGCTCTCAAGTATGAAACCTGATTCATACTTCCTCTTCCTTCTCTTCTGGTGAAAATGTGACCGAGAATACTGGCAGACCCCCAAGACATGTGCTATGAGAGAGTCCATACGTTACGGTGATAGAATGACTTCTTTTTTTTTTTTTTTTTTGTTCAGGTAGAGTGGGAGGGAGAGAGAGGAACAGAGAGAGAGAGAAACATCGATGTGAAAGGGACACACCGAGTGGCTGCCACCCGCACAACCGACCAGGACTGGGGTCAAACTGCAACCGAGGTACATGCCCTTAGTGGGAACCGAACCCGGGTCTCTCGGGACCGCAGGCCGACGCTCTAACCGCTGAGCCAAACCGGCCAGGGCTAGAATGACTTCTTTTAATTTACTTATATTCTGCAGCCCTGCCTCATTTATCCTTGCAACATGCCAGTGAAATAGGAAAGAGACATCCCAACGAACATAGAGAAAGTATATGGTCCAATTCCCTTCGTATTTGAGTTGAAAACATCGAGACTTAGCTAGGTCAAATGGTTTCCTGAGGGTCCCTGCTAGTTCTGTACGTGACTGGGCAGATATTGGTTCCACTTTTATTTTCGTCCTGAATGAGGGGCCTTGCTGGGAACCAGGGCTGATTACAGCGGATGGGTTCATGGCAGAGAGCCATGTGGCCTTTGAACCCTGCTGATGGTGCTTGATCGTCCTCCAAGATCTGAAAATAAGTGAGCAGCATCAGGACAGAAAGCAG